AGCAACTTAAAGAAGTCCAGACGCTTTTCTTTGCAAGCTCCTTTGACAACTAAGAATATACTGTCCTCGTTCACTGTCTGTCTCTTTAGCTATAAGTGGTTCTATAGTGTCCGGCCAGCTGCACTTAAACTAGAAGATCCACCTGTTAGTCATAATGTCCAGGTTTGTAAAGCACTTTATGAAGTGCAGTGTGGATCTGAACACTGGTTGTGTTTTGTTGTTGGACTTCTGTGCAAACCACAGTTTGGCCATGATGAACACCATGTTCGAACATAAGAGTGTCCAGTGCACATTGCACCAGGACGCTCTAGGCCGCAGGTTGATGATCGAATTTGTAATCCTATCACCACCATCCTATCCTGCATTGAGCTGCAGCCGCAAGGTGGTTGGTGTCTGTCGTGGTTGTAACCCCCGAACCAAATGGTGGACTTCGGAGAGGCCAAAAAAAAAAAAAGAAAAAAAAGAAAAAGACTTTCAGACTGCCTTGAAGAGATTCTGGCAAACCGTCAGGGGACTCTGGAGAGGTGCACTGCACTGTGTATAGTGCGATTGGAGCGCTGCTGACGTCGACTGAGAAAATTGTCGGGCAGTGGAAGGAATACTTCGAGGACCTCCTTGTCTGATCACGAAGGGGATGACCCGCCAGTCTCTGGGGGTGAGGTCACTGAGGCAGTTAAATAACTCCTTGGTGGTATAGCTCCTGGGGTGGATAAGGTCTGCCCCAAATTTCTAAAGACTCTGGATGTTGTAGGGCTGTCTGGTTGACACGCCTCTGCAATGTTGCTTGGAGTTCAGGGGCAGTACCCCTAGACCAGGTAGATGGTCCCCATTTTCAAGAAGGGGGACCGGATGGTGTGTTCCAACTACAAGGGGATCAAACTCCTCAGCCTCCCTGGGAAAGTCTATGCCAGAGTGCTGGAGAGAAGAGTCCGTCCGTTAGTCAAACCTGTAGCCAGCCACAAAGACAGAGCAGGCACGTTAGCAGCAGTGGCCTTAGTCTTTTGTTCAGCCAGCTTCCCTTTAAGATCAAGATCAGGATGCACATCTCTGGCACCACAAAATGCTCAAGCTTGTATTAATATTTCTCCGGTTGTTTAAGCTCAGGCATTAAAGGACTCATGTGCTCCAGTTTGTTTGGCTAAGGCAGAGGCTCAAAATATATGGGGTAGCTAGCTAAGGCCCAGGAAGAGCAACCTCAAGATTAGCTAGTTCAGGAACAGGAGGCACAATTTCTGGAGACATAATTTCAGACACGGGAAGAACAGACTCCAAGAAAAATAACAGCATCTTACAAGATTACAATTGGCTGACTCGACTCTAGTAAGGTGCTGGTTCAAGCAGACCGGCTCGGTTCATGAGGAAAAGGAAGAGGTATCATCCTGGTATCTAGCACCATTAATTGACTTTGCATTGACGAACCCAGGTGTGTGGAATTTAGATAGAGGTGTGACCTCGACTGAGGGTTAGAAGGATGGTCAGTCCGGACAAGGCAGGCAGGTTGGAGCAGTAAAGAATTCTGTGAGAATAATTTCCAAGAAGCAAAAAGAGCAATCACCAAACTCCTTACATCAGGGTCACTCACAAAATGGTGAGATAAAGTCGGCACTGATGCCTCATTTTCCACAGTGTAAATGTTTCTCTCCTGGGTCCATACTGGTCATGGCATTCTCTAACAATCTGAAGGATCACAAACTTTGAGAAATAGGACCAAAAGTGCTTGATACAGAAGGCAAACTAAGAAGAAGCAAGGTATTTATTGACTGATAAAGTCCACAAAATAATAAAATACCACGCTAAATACAAAATCATAAAAAACATTGAAGTGGAACTCGAGACTAATCGGGGAAATGGAAATGGGGGTAACAAGACAAAGCTGTAGAAAATAAAGGCAGGGAGATTCTTCTTGGGGCTGGCAGCAGGAACCCACAAGCAAAACGAGTTAGAGGCCATTAGAAGGAACTGAACATGATTTATTGTCTTGATGCATGCTCAAGCATCCAGGTAAGTAAATCCCAACAAGTTGATTCTGTTTATCTGGACGTAGCATTTCCAGTGGGAGAAACATTTTGTCACTCATCTAAAAAACTTCTTCAGTCTCATCTGACTGCAGGTTTCCTAAACTTCATAAAAAGCCTTATAATAATTTGCAACTTTATAATAATTTGTACATTAATGATCAAGGAAATGACCTCACAGCCCATTGTTCTTTCCCTGGCTGTGAGGTCAGTGTGCAAATGTACTGTTTATACAGTACATTGAAAACAATGTATTGATGTACAGAATTCAGATAGAGATATTTTGCGATGAGACTCCGATGGCCCATCTCAGAATGGATTCCCAGTGGTGACGGGGATTAGAGCAGGACCCCACCCAGAGTCTAGACGCTTGTAGTGTAGATAGAGGCTTGAATGGAGCCTGAGTGATGAGGTTACACTTCGAAATATTTCTAACAATTTCTGCTGCTACACATGTATTCACCTTTGCATAAAGTGACTATCCATCCATCCATTCGCTTCCGCTTATCCTTTTCAGGGTCGCGGGGGGCGC